ACATTTTCAATGGGGTTAAGGTCAGGTGATTGAGGTGGTGGTTGCAAAACTTTTGGGCAATTGTACAGCAAATATTCCTGCACAATGCGTGCCTTATGTTTCGGGTCATTATCCTGTTAGAACTAGAACGTATTTAAAATCCCCATTTTTGTAGCACTTCTGTGTAATTTTTTTTTCAATTTGGTCAGGTACAAATTTTTGTCCATAATCTTTTCGTTGAAAACTAATTCGCCCGGTCCGAAAGTCGAAATACAGCCCCAGACCATTACACTGCCACCTCCGTGCTTTACGTTTGACCGAAGATTTTTAAATTTAAACTCTTCCTTTTTTTTTTCCGCCACACCATCCTTCGTCCATCTGACCCAAAAATATTAAATTTACTTTCGTCAGAAAAGATGAGATCATTCCACCATGTTTCATCCTTCAAAATAAATTCTTTGGCTTAATTCAGTCTCTTCTTTCGATTCTTTTCACTCACGTACGGTTTCTTTCTAGCCACTCTTCCATTGTAGCCGCTATTTTTTAAGGCTCTGCGGATCGTTTGAGGATGCACGTTTTTTCCAGTCTCGTTTAACAGCTCTGATGCTAATTTTAGGGCACTGAGCGTAGGGTCCTTCTTCATTTTTCTTAGCAATTTTCTCTCATCGCGAACGTCTAGTTTCTTCGGTTGGCCTTTTTGGGGTATAAAATCTATACGATCCTCGCATTTGAACCGCTTGACTATATCTCCCACTGTACTCTTGCTTACGTTTAGCAGAGCAGCAATTTCTCTGTACGATTTTCTTTTGACATTATGATGTATTACAAATTGCCGTATATCAAAACTTGTGTTCGCTTTGCGAGGCATTGTACAAGTGTATTGCACGATGATCGACAAATAACTAATGAAATAAGGCTTAAACTAAAACGCTTGACTAGATTTGTAAACAAACATTGTTCTCTAACTCGGCGTAACTCGGCTTGAACATTGGAAAAAAGCGCTACATTGTAAAGTGTCCGAATATTAAAGTAACGTGAAAATCGGACAGTTTTATTTAAACCGTATTATTGAACAACTATTGTAAATTATGTAAACAAAACTTACGCTATTGTTTATTAAGCGTATACGTCATCATAATCCTTAATCATTTTTTTTTGTTAGAAATTAAGTTATAACGTAATATAGTAAAAATCTCATAGTGTCCGAATATTAAAGTTACTCACTGTAAGTATTAAAAGAAGTTTTAACCCATTCATTACGAATTTTATATTTTTAGTTTTTGCAATATTTTTTGTATTTACCCGCTCCGTGATTACTTTATAAGGTGATTTATTCACCTTAGTTGGTAATTCATAGAGGTGTAGTTTTTGGGACATACATGTGCTGTCGGTAGCAAAAGAGTTAAGTAAAAGTAACCTTAGTCATAAAGTCAATAATTACAAGGCTTACGCGGCATGGATGTTATGTAAACTATATTTTTCGCGACATTTGACCGCGTGCACTGCATGCCTGATTTCGAGAGTAAAAAAAGAAAGTCTGCTAAAAGATTATATATTCTATAGAAGCAAATATAAATTAAAAGAAGGTATTTGAGAAATATTAATTTTATTTTGTGTGTAAGACGTATTATGGAGTACACAGTATGATATTAATGGACTGTGGAAGAGATACCCCCACTTGCAAATGCTGTTCCCTCTATTTTTAAAAATCCCTCTGCAAGTCCTTCCATGTATTTTGCCTGCCATTGCTACCCTTTGCCTTTGCTGCACGATGAGACAATGGATGTCTCATCTTCGTCCGCTTAGTTTTCAATTTTTTAAACTAATTTTATGACGTTAAATACTGAATTTTTTAGTTTTCGTACTGTCTCTAAGACTTGAACAAGTATATAGAAAATGTTGGCAATCATTAATATTTACTTGTGAAAACACTAGAAATTAAAGAATTGACAAAACTAGTGCTTTTTAAAAAAGAAAATCATTTTCAACTCTCTGTGGTGAGCGCGCGCGCGCTTGTGTGTGTATGTTTGTAGGTGTAAGGAGGAGAAGAGTCTCTTTTAGAGATGCTCGAGCACATCCCCGTCGACAGCTTGGTACATCCGTATTCGTTATCTAAAACTGTCAACCTTGCAATTTTTATGTAAATAATAACAACGTTAATGACAAAAAGAACGTTAGTTTGTGGAAAAAATGTTCTGGATATTGATTTTAGCTATTCAATTGAGGAAAACATCGTTAACCTTTGAGTTAGTCAAGAATTAGTTCCTCCAAAAGTTATAGGTTTTCAACCAAGGAACTTGAAAAAAAATATGATTCTATTTAAAAAAGCGTTTCTTGCCGTAACATCACTATTTTGATTTCTACATTTTTCTTCATATTTGTTCTACAATTCCCCCTCGAAACCGTGCCACTTTTATAGGACACTTTTTTTTTATTAAATCCTTGGATCGTAAGCTATTCTAATGAATCATTTAAAATGGGACATCTTGTATATAAATATTATTTCCACCGTATGGCGACTTCGCCTTTAATAAATACCCATCTTTACCATCTAATAATATATTTTTTTCGATGAAAACTAATTCGCCCGGTCCGAAAGTCGAAATACAGCCCCAGACCATTACACTGCCACCTCCGTGCTTTACGTTTGACCGAAGATTTTTAAATTTAAACTCTTCCTTTTTTTTTTCCGCCACACCATCCTTCGTCCATCTGACCCAAAAATATTAAATTTACTTTCGTCAGAAAAGATGAGATCATTCCACCATGTTTCATCCTTCAAAATAAATTCTTTGGCTTAATTCAGTCTCTTCTTTCGATTCTTTTCACTCACGTACGGTTTCTTTCTAGCCACTCTTCCATTGTAGCCGCTATTTTTTAAGGCTCTGCGGATCGTTTGAGGATGCACGTTTTTTCCAGTCTCGTTTAACAGCTCTGATGCTAATTTTAGGGCACTGAGCGTAGGGTCCTTCTTCATTTTTCTTAGCAATTTTCTCTCATCGCGAACGTCTAGTTTCTTCGGTTGGCCTTTTTGGGGTATAAAATCTATACGATCCTCGCATTTGAACCGCTTGACTATATCTCCCACTGTACTCTTGCTTACGTTTAGCAGAGCAGCAATTTCTCTGTACGATTTTCTTTTGACATTATGATGTATTACAAATTGCCGTATATCAAAACTTGTGTTCGCTTTGCGAGGCATTGTACAAGTGTATTGCACGATGATCGACAAATAACTAATAAAATAAGGCTTAAACTAGAACGCTTGACTAGATTTGTAAATAAACATTGTACTCTAATTTGGCGTAACTCGGCTTGAACATTGGAAAAAGCGCTACATTGTAAAGTGTCCGAATATTAAAGTAACGTGAAAATCGGACAGTTTTATTTAAACCGTATTATTGAACAACTATTGTAAATTATGTAAACAAAACTTACGCTATTGTTTATTAAGCGTATACGTCATCATAATCCTTAATCATTTTTTTTTGTTAGAAATTAAGTTATAACGTAATATAGTAAAAATCTCATAGTGTCCGAATATTAAAGTTACTCACTGTAAATGTGATTAAAACTTGTCTTATTTCACAAGGGTCATCCCACTCGACCAAAAGCAAGAGTGTACTTGAATCAATATTTAGCGCAGTTATGTACACTTGGGCGGTTTGCGATAACACTGTAGCCTTCTATTTTTTCAACCAAAGATAGTCGATAATAATAATGATAATCTCAACAATAAGATTAATAATAATATTAACGATTTATAATATAAATTAGGATGACGATAATACTAATAATAATATCGTACATTCCTATACACAGATGTCACAGCATAGGCCGTGTATCTGCAAGGTTTAAGCTATAACATTCTTATCGATTGTTAATACGTTAAACAATAATTCGACAGCCTGATTAGGAAAGAACCTTTAAATTTATAATAACGAACAGCCACTGTATGAGTAAACTAAGTTGATCGATCTTTCATTTATATTACGTTCGAGTATCAACGAATCTCATGTTTCTCTTACCCTGTTATCCAATTCCAGTTGTTAGTGCCCGTCAGTTGTAAAGTGCCCCATAGAATTGAGCAGAATTAATATTCAAAGAATTAAACGTTTACGAGCTGGTGTACTTCTCGTTATTCTTAATCCTTTTGGTTCAACAAACTGAAATTATGCTACATCTGATTGAAAATGTCCAAAATTATAATTCGGCCGTTTCTTAAACAGGCGATCGAGCCTCGACAATTCCTATTATAAATTACTGTACAGTCAACCGCATTAATGGTGACAACGGTGGACGCCGTGCGTTGAGGTAAGAGAGGAGATTTGGGAGGCGCCTGCTTGCGTATGCCTATGCGTGCAACGCAGAAAGCACTAAGGTGCGAGCGAGACGCCAGAGCATCGCTCGGTGCGTTCTTGCTGCACAACACTAGTGTAAGCGAGACGCCAACAAGGCCCCTCATGCGCAATAGGGAGTTTGGTGGGGGACTGCTCATGTCCGGGCGCACGCTCTTGCTCTCTCTCTCTCAGACTAATGCTCTATGACGAGAACAGCTACTATCCCGATAAGAAACGAGAAGGAGCTATGGGACTTTCGGTAGTGGGAATGAGATAGACTTTTCGATTATCCATCCTCGTCAAACAGCGTTAGTAAGAGAAAGAGAGATATATGCGACGTGGTGGCTATATCGCATATCAGGCGATACGCAAGCAGGCGTCTCCCACATCTCCTCTCTTACCTCACCGCACGGCGTCTACCGTTAACACCATTAATGCGGTTGACTATACACAAACTACTAATAAACATTATTGTTTGCTTTGGAATTTATTAACGGATACATTTACGGTGGTGATTATTTTTCTCTAGGAAGCCAATTAACGTCAGGTATTTCAACACAATCCTATGGAAATATTCACGTTCAATTACTACGTGGACTTGTCATCACGAAAATGGGATGTACTTATCTCTGGGAGAAAATCTCAAAACTTTAAGTTTATTTGAAGAAAAAATTTAAAATCATATATTGATAAGACAATAACATTTAGAAGTAATAATTGATCATTTTCGGTCATTGAATTATATACTTATAGTTATTAATTTCTAAAACCTTTCAAAGTTAATAACATTATAACATTTACCATGTGTCTATGTTACTCAGAATTATGTGTAACATATACATCCCATTTTTGTGATAAAAAATTATATAGCATGTAATCACGTCATGTGCGTTGTATATTTTTTGTTTATATGTATGCTCTTACACAATATAATATTCAGCAACATTATTCAATACAGATAGCTCGCGTTAGAAATTGTTAAGCTGTAATTGGTTATGCACTTAAAATAATAATGTGCTTTTTGTGCACTGTTGACGAGCTCTGCTACTGATAATTGTCGATATCAAATGCGAATATATCGTATATTTAATTATACAGTGTACTGTTGCATATAAAGTGTCTGTCTATATTTAACTTGGGATTTCAACGAAGTATAACTGTGTCTCGTTTTAAGTAAATTTAGTTTTCTAACATAGCATGAATAGCAAGATATTTTAATGTAATTTAAACGTTGTAGGAATTATGTATTTTTGAAACACTGGGAAAGGCCCTATCATACTATAAAATAACTTTTTGCTAACTTACTCTTGCATTGAAATTTTTACATGATTTGCATATACAGGGTTATTCGCGGCAAACGCGCCAGCTGAAGTTGAACGCGATTGAACAGTTCTATGGAGGCAGTGTGGGCTTGTTAAACAAATGAAAGAATGTGAAATTCATGATCTTAGCAATGTTATGACGTTAGCTTTCATTTCTTTAATGATACCACCCTGCTCTAATTTATGAAATCATTCGTTCACGGGTAATTTCAGCTGATGCGTTTGCCGTGAATATCCCTGTATATAAAAGGTCTGACTTTTTTGCAAATATTATAATAATACTGATAAAATTTCTATATGAAAAAAATGTGCATATATGTATACTTTACACTATCGCAAATGATTCTAATGCAGTGGGACTGAGTGGGACTTCCAATACGTAAACCCCCAATAAGTTAATGTCTCTTCCAATAAGTTAAGAAATGAACCTCCGAAAAGTTAAGATCGACCTCTTCTTGAGACTTTTTTACCTGCTCAGTAGAGAGACGAGATAGTCCTTCCAGCGGCAAGCTTGCTACGTGACTCTGTACCCATTCTCCCACTCGAGGATCGGAGAGAAAGTGGAAGGTAGTAGGGGAATGAACTTACTGGAAGAAGTCTAATTTGTTTAGCTCCCGACAGGTTAACTTATCGGAGGTCTCAGTGTATATGAGTGTTCTTTTCAAACAGATTTTAATATTTTCATGATTTATCAAATAGCTTCCAGAGTAAATATGGATAGAAACTTTATATGATAATAATGAGGTTAACCAAGTAAAAGCATCATATCTTTCGATTACCTACAACTTACCAATTAGCAAATAGGAATTTACCTGTTTGCTATCAGGGGAGTTTTAAGTGGAAGCCATATACTTGAACATACCTTGGTGAAGTAGACGTAACCAATTCGTAATACATATTTTCGCAATAAAAAAACGGTTTACCGACAAGACCAAAATTATTAGCGTTTCAAATTATATCTCATAGCGATATCTCATAACAATATCTCAGAACAGGTCTTATAACAAACAAAAAATCAAGCTTTGATCGAGATTCCTCACTTCCGTGCCCCTTTTGTTATTCTCTTATACGCATATACCTACTCATCATTTCAAGTTTTGGTTCGAAGTTCAAGAAATAAGCTAAGCTGCTGTGAAAATTCGAGTGTCATCTAAGTCGTCCTAATAGTTCAGCAGAAAGAGCGATAAAGGAGCAAAATTATTTGATTGGTTATTGATCTTAAACTCTGAAAGTTTAAAAATTTCACCAATTAAACATATGCACTCCCTGAACCACTGCTTCTGCCAAAGAGAGCCAATATTTGGTATTGTTACATGATTGAGCATTGCTTGCTAGTTGAGAATCAAAAAATTACAAGCTGTAGCAGCAAAGTTGTTATCATAAATGTAATTTAACATGGTAATTTATCGAGATTATATTCTTACATAACCTCAACACCGTGGCTGATTGTTGCACGATAAACTGACGATCTTATAGAGAAATTTGTGTCCCCCTGCATGTCCAGTTTCCTTCTGATTTGGCCCCAGATCTTATGCTGAGCCTAGCTAATGTTTTCATCGGAGCCGAATGAGAGTTAAATATATATCTATAGTTTTGTAATATTTAGATATAGAACACACGTATTTCACCTCTCAAATTGACATCGGTGAAAATATAGTCACTGATTCTATTCCATTTTTTACAATTTATGCTTGTAATTACTAGAGAGGGGCACAGCCTACTGCAATTCCTAATTTCGCAGCATAAACATTACAAACCATCTATAAAGTTTGTATTAATTTTTGTAATGTAAACAGAAATATATTGTAACTTGGGTTAAGTAAATCAGCCGAAATAGTCATACAGGATATTAAAGTTATGAAGAAGTTACAAGTACTATGACATACGACTGGCATCGTTCGTAATGTTCGTAATTATTTTGCAATAGTGAACTTTGTAAACGATGAAAACTCATTTTGAATTTACGGGGATATACAAAACTTTCTTACCGCTAAAATACATAAATCTAAAGAAGCGGTCTATTTGACCATCTTAGGACGGACAGATATTACAGAACTACACGTATGAAGATTTGATGCTTAGTACCCTTCGAACAAGCACAGAGATTATGAGTTTATTTCTTGAAACTGTTTGTCAGAGGCACTATCGTTAATTGGTCATTATCAGAAATAGCTATACTACTTGCATCACTCTTTTCTCTCATTTTAGCTACCTGTCTGTCTGTCTGTCTGTTTGTTTGTTACCTTTCTTCGCGCAAATAACTTTTTTTCCTACAAAATGATCTTATCTATTACGCTAACATATAATCAAGCTGAAATTGGCGACTAATCTTCAGATGATACTTAAGTCATCCTTACGCATTCATGATAATCATTTCTTTTTCGAACTTAAAACCGCTGTTAAATGATAGTAATAAACTTAGGTTAATATAACAGAATATTGATTTAATAATAAAAAAAGCTTTGTAGCTATCAGCTACGAGCTATAGGCTGCCAATTTTAGCTTGATTAACATGTAAGCTTTCTAAATTCTAAAATACACTCTTCACATCCATACCGTGTGTGATCTCGGTTATATATGTACTGATGTATTTATACATCTTCTCCTCGCTCGGAGCGATTACAATGTTAAGATTTATATTCGGCATATTGTCTATAAAATTTTAATGACCAAGGCAACATAGCATATGGCCGAGCATCGGGAAAAGAAGAAAAATTGCTTGCTCAAAGGGCCAAGGTTATTCTGATTTCCTTATCTGATTGGTTACGAATTCATGGTAATCTTGATATATCCGGTGATTTTGTCGTACATGTTCGTTTATAAATAATGATATTCTTTAATAATTACTATTAAACGACCTATGCTTGCAAACTAACTTCCGCGGAACAATAAATTAAAACATGGTAACATTACACTTATGTGATATCTAAACAATTTAAAAAATAGTTTTGCATCTTGTTCGTTTGAAAAGAGTACGAATACTCTGCCTGTATTTATGGACAAATTATGCATTATGAATTCTTGGTCAATATTTGATAAGAAGTACGTGACGGAGCGTCTTATTTGCAGTGTAATGCCATCAATGATAGTATCAATGTATTATTAATAATAATTCTTCGTTATATAGCATTACAAAAGCAACATGCTTATAGTAATGTCAAATAACAAATGTGACCTGACGATCGTAGTTTGTCTCTAGACCCAGCTTTGCGCCACTTAAAATTTGATCCTCCAGCGTATGTCCGTTTTTGAAGCCTTTGGCTCATCCATAGACTTAAAAAACACAATATATGTTTAGTTATATATTTTTAGTTCTGAGGGTCTGTTGTTGCTATAGGAAAAACAATTCCAGGTATGTCGCCACCACTTCCATAGTCAGGTATGTCTACTTTGACTAGCAGCAGTTACACCTGCTCCGGGACTGTTTCCATTCGAGAGTAACAATCTTCTATTGAATTCTCGCATTTCGTAGTTGTTGTTTCCGTTACTCTTCTCTCGAGATCCATAGTTATGAGGAGCTGGCGTCGGTGTTAATTCTTCAAGTATTAAAGCACAGTGACTGTTTGTGTCACTGTCAGCACCTCCATCTTGTACCGTACTTGCCAATAGCGGATGTCTTCCGGAATTGCAGTCGTCGGATTGCATCAACAGCGTTGCATTTCCTAGAAACAAGTCCATTAGTCCTGATCAATTCGTACTACAGGATTTGAAAAAATTATTAAAAACTTATAGTAACTCATGGAAATTCATACCGGATGTTGCTGTAGGTAAAGTTGGCCGCCTGATTATGCCCCCATTATTTGTTGTATCCGGTATGACTTGAGAAAATGGTTGAATCAACGGAGGAACCGCAGACGGCGGCTCGCGGAGCAGCCGTATCTTCTGGATCATTTCTCGTATTTCATAACGTAAAATTCCAAGAAAGCAGAGTTTGGCAAAGGTAATAACGCAAAACCCTAGTACAAACAGAAGATCGGCTGTTCTGCGGAGCCACCGAATAAGGGTCTCCTCGCAACCGCGGACATAGGGTTGTAAACAAGATTCGCTGGCATTAGAAGCAGGGGGGCAGCAAGTCTGAGGCCAGCGAGAACCGAAGTCACGCGGTCCGGTGACACCGCAGCAAGAAAATTCCCGCTGAAGACGATCCCACTGTTCGCTGAAGCGCGGCTCTTTCGCGTACTCTGTTTGCAATTTAAACCTGAGAGTAGGTCGAAGTTCAGCGCACATTCTTTCAAACCGAAAGACCCATGCTATGCCTACAACTGTATCCCCAAAGAGAAGAGCTAGTAGAAGAATCCAGTAGGCATTGAGGAGACGAGTATTAAGTCGTCTCGCGGCAACACATCCAAGAAATTGCATCAGGCCCAATTGAGTCGCAAGTGCGAGGTAGGCGTAGAGTGCCGTGGGGTCGAAGGCTCGGGGTACGCCTGGTATTAACTGACGTCGGGGATCCCCCGAAAAGAGTAGTGTTCGTGATACGGCAGTCGCCAGCCCTACAGCACTGCCAAATACGACTATGTTGCAAGCATATATCCACAAACGATAATATCGCATCGCGACACCCTGCCCCCCAATCCTGGTGTACGACGTTGCCGCCGCCGCTACGCCGGCACCGCCGCCGCCACCGCTACCACAGCCGCTGACGCCACCTCCACTACAAATGCCGCCACTACCACCGTAGCCACCACCACCACCACCGATACGACCACTAACACCGCTATCACCGCTTTCACGCGTTGTTGTCCTAATGATCTTGCTATTATTATTGTTTCTTATAACGTTGTTGTTTGTACCGGTGCTATTGTTATTATTGTTGTTCTTGCTGTCGCTGCTTCGGTGCTCTTGACTTTCAAAGAAAAACAGGAATGGTGGCTTTGTATTGCTGTTGGCTATCTTTTGGCTGTGCGTCAACTGCGGGGAGGCGGAACGTTGCAGCAGCATCACCGTCATACTATCAAACCTCCCTTAATGTCTTTGTGGATAACCTTTCCTCGGTCGAGTGTTAGACGAGAGGTTTGCATCGAGAGTTTATTTCCATAGTACTCTGTAATTTAAAAGCAGAGTCTGTTGAATTCGAAGAAAAATCACTGCTGTCACCTAAGCGTAAATTACTACTAAAGTTCTATGACTCCGGAATAAAAATATTAGTCAGTCGGGTCGCTTCTTTTATTTTATTATTGTCTTTATTATTCTTTCGGAATTATTATTTATGTGCCTCGAAACGGAAAAACGGGACTTCCATGTCCTAGTACTTTATAATTATTATACATAATTAATAGGTATCGAACATCAATACTCATTCGTTGTAAACAAAATCTTGCTAGTAAAACTGACAATGAGTTGTATGGCATAGAGCGTGGTAATATTATCGAATGAATTATCGGTCTTTGGGATATATGACTAAAGAATTCCTCACATTTTATGACATAGTTTTTGATATTCTACGAAACCCAGATCTGAAACTACCAATTGAGTAGCCTAGCATGACGTGAATCCAGTCGATTTTGGAATTGCGAGGAATACTAATAACGGAGCATGTCATATTTTATGAAAAGAAATTTCTCAATGTAAGAGATGGGGCGAGGAGGCTCCGAAATCACCTTGCCTTTAGAATAGTCTCACATGCCATAGGCAATTCTATTATCGATTTTCCTCGCAAAGTCTCAGGTATAAGCTGGCTGTATATATAGAGGCGTTCATGCATAATACATTTAATGGTAATCTTCCGAGACGAAGTAACTTTCGGTTTGACATTACGGCAAATCATTTTGAGTTTTTGATTATCCCCTTGCTGCAATGTAATATTATTGAAGCAGTGTTAAAATGTCAACCAATTTTAAGGGCCCATCGATCGTTCAAGCTCTCCGCGCTTGCTCCCGCCTCATCCCTTTAACGCCCATTTATTCGATACCAAAGGAAATATCCTGTTTCCTACCTTTCACTGTATTATCATGGAATATTTACTCCTCTAATCCATGTTTCTAATCTTTCTTCATTCTGTCATTCTTTGTTAAACATACAAAATATCTATCCGAGTAAGTTATACTGTTAGTTTCATGTGACGAGTGGTATTGTTTATTCGTGGGTAGGAAGTAGACGTGATGTGTAGCGCACGACCTTGCGCAATAAATTAAATTGCTGGATACTCGACTGAAGTGAAACAATATCGTCCACTCGAGGAAAGTTTTTGTTTTGTTTTTGTTTTTGTCGAGGAAAGGAAAAGATGAAAGGATGCCATTCGTTATTCATAGGTGTTCACCAAAGCGGGACGAAGAAGAGAAAGAGGGGGAGCACGAGAAAAACGAAAAATTTATGGCGGTATGCAACCCTGACATCCCGAAGAATTTCTTTTCAGATTTTAGTACGTGACAGTTGCCACCCTCAGTAGATATTTCGTGATTCATCACTATCTGAAAATCTTTATTCATCCCGCCATTAATCTGTGAAACATAAGAGATTCTATTTGACAATTTCTTCAACGACCAACCAAATTTTCATGATCTGTTTAAAACTTCGAAAACGCAAATAACGAACAGTCACTTGATAAATCGGTCAGCAATATTTAATACGAAATCAATGAAACATGTGTCTATCGATTTAGTTGCTTTTGAGTAAAATAACCTAGATGAAGGAATGTTATTCTTGTATAGGCCGTCTTCCACATCTTGCATCTCACTCCTTATCCATTATTTCTTTACTGTATCTACAAGCTTCGGAATAACTCGTGGTATTTTGGAACACATGGATACTGACCTTCGATGATTTATTAATCCAGATGTATTATCATTTTCCACCGAACTAAACTTGAAGTATCGCACCAATCTTACGTTCACCCACGGGAACACCTCTGGTCACGTCACGTCGACCATCTCCACGAAAATACTTTTCGGCTGGCAAATATGATTTATATCCATTCCTCCCAATACCAGTCCATCTCGAACAGCTGCTTAGGAATGCAATCGAGCGTACTAGGAAAATAAATCGTTAGAACTTCTCGCACAGAAGAAATCTAAGCGACGTTGATCTTGAAGTTGGCCTTGTCCTCAGTTCCGTCTCGCTCAAGAATTCTACTCGTGATTGTATATGATGAAATTGATAGACTTTTTTGTATTTTTCTTAAAACTTTTTTGCGGAAGACACAAATTAACACGACGAAAGATTTGTTGAATGTCGACTCGTATAATTTTAGAGGATGGATACAATTATCGCCCGCGGTAGGCAACCAGACTGACAATTCTTGGTGTTGGCGCCTTTACGGTGGGCAACCAAACTAACTGTTGAGTGTGCGCAAATGTATATTGGCGTACGCAGAAAGGTTTGAAGAACTATACTTCTTTGTAACCATATAGCTTTATCTTTTTCTTTTTATTCTGAAGATATTAATTACTGCTTCATAGATGATATAGATATAATATGGTATTTTCACGATCTGATTATATTTAACGGTATTTTGTTAGTTAAATATTTCCACCATGAATAATATATTAGTAAAAATATTTACGGGAATGTTACAGTTTGATGGACGTATGTATAAGGGGCAGAGTCGAAAAAGTTATGGCGGTGTAGCCCGAAATATTGCAGTTGCTTTAAATAATCTTGGCGTGAATGGGACCAAATTATTATCAGTTGTTGGAAATGATGAACCTGGAAAAGGGATAATTAAAAGCCTCCAGGGCAACGAAGATATGGTGCAAGTACTGAACACGGCAAATACAGCCAGGTGAAGATTTTTTTGTTTTTGTATTTCGTGATATTAAGGTGCCTTGAGCATCCAGGCATTTCCAATATATGAACCTGCATTTTGTATATGTCCTTATTTGGTGCTTAATGGTCGTGCGTGCAAAATTTCAAAATTATTTACCATCTAGGTATACGAAATGAAAAAAACCAAACTTGCACTATAAATTTGTTCTTCGCGTATTAAAATAGCTATATATTTTTCGAGATAATTCAAGTGGTAAAAATGGATAAAATTTCAAATTATAAATTAAAAATCTTGGAATTTTTTCATTTTTTTTATTATATTATTTAAACGATATAATATAAAAATTTATAAAATGATAAATCTCTGTCATTTCGCTTGTTTCAAAGATAATACCTTAGATAGGAAATATTTTTGTAATGAACGACATACAAAAATATAATTATTATTGTTGTCGTTGTTGTTATTATTATTATGCTCAAACCACATTAATGTACTTGAAAATTTGATCATACACATGATATAATCCTTCACTTTGCAATTAACTAATAAATATATTAGTTTGTTGTTTCTCAAGACGAAATAATTGGAGATAATCATTTAATTCATAAGAATACAAGATGGTTTATGAAGTACCTATTTAACAGTAGAAATCTAAAGTAATTACCATCTCGACTGAAGACTAAAGACTTCAATCTGGAAACTACGGTTTTCTAATTTATCAATAAATTTTAATTCCCTTTAAATACTGTCTTTACAAATTTTTATTATTTAAAAGAAATTAATATGCATCAACGGTCAAGAGCCTAGATACATATATTATGTTGTTTTTTTTATTAGGTGTATTTAGATTTCTGAATGATAGTATTAAGCGATTGTACAAATTTGATTTTTTTATTTTTCATAAATTATTATTATTATCCTAGATCTAATTTATAAATAAGGCATTATTTCCAAGATTCTATTTATAAATTTATAAATGACGTATTAACGTCATGCCTATATAAACTCATTTTGAATTTCTCCAGATATACTGCCATAATCAATAACGCTGGCGAATGTCTGTTCGGAATTGGTGAAATGGATGCTTTTAGTGCAATCAGTCCGGATATAATAGTAAGACATAAAACTAATTTAGAGAAATCTGGCCTTCTTATTCTTGATGGAAATACATCGTTGGAAACGATACGCACTATTATGGACATTGCCGCACAGTTCACGATACCAGGTGAGTTTTAAAACAAGATTTTAAATTTTTTAATATTTTTATTTCATTTCATATTGTATATGAAAATTTTAACAATAATGTAACCATACATTGATTTAAAAAATAATAAATTTATAATTCTTTGATTAGTTGAAATTTCGTCCATTTTAAACATTAATGAAAACATGGTGCAGCTGCCAGAAATTGAAACTTGTAACTATATAGATAAATCCAAACAGTTATAGAAATTTAGAATTCGTGTAAAATAATTATATACATGACCCACAGCTTTTTTAAATTATGATCATAACAGAGATTCATAGTTATAATTGTTCAGTCAGTGTAAATAAAAATATAAGGTCACTTTATAGGGAAGTAAAATTTCCATGTGAAGCTAAAGATTTTGGTGGATATTATACGTTAATGTTTTAGCAATTTATCACATAGTTCAGAATATTTAATGGAGATGACGTTGACCAGGTTTCCAGCCAGAAAATACAAGAAAACTAATTCTAACATTTTAAATTATGTTGATGTGTTAGAATTTGTAAAATTAAATCTTTGTGAGACATTTGTACAAAACCTTTGTGAGACATATTTTCTTAAATACTTACAGGTGCGTTAAGGATGAGGCATGTCGTTAATATTACATAGTATTCCCATTATAAGGGAATGTTCAGAGTCAGGAATTAAAAGTAATGACGTCAAAAGGTAAAGATACATCGCCCTCACTTTTGGTACGTCTCATCGTCCTACAATACGATATATTCTCAGATTATAAAAGATAAGTAAAAGATAAATACTAGCATATCAGTATGTAAAGGATATTGAATTGTGAAATTAATAGTTTTTTATTTGTAACTTACAGAAATGCAGTATGGATGCAAGAGATATCTGAGTTACTGTCGCCATATGCCAGGAATTTAATTAAGAATTTGAAATAATATTAACGGAACAACCACTTAATATTATTCCATTCCGACCCAGACATCTCTTGCGCCCATACTGCATCTCTGTAAGTTACAAATAAAAAACTATTAATCTCACAATTCAATATCCTTTACATACTGATATGCTAGTATTTATCTTTTACTTATCTTTTATAATCTGAGTATATATCGTATTGTAGGACGATGAGACGTATCAAAAAGTGAGGGCGATGTATCTTTTTACCTTTTGACGTCATTACTTTTAATTCCTGACTCTGAACATTCCCTTATAATGGGAATACTATTTAATATTAACGACATGCCTCATCATTAACGCACCCGTAAGTATTTAAGAAAAATGTCTCACAAAGATTCTGTACAAATGTCTCATAAAGTTTTAATTTCACAAATTGTAACACATCAACATAATTTAAAATATTAGAACATATGTTAGAATTAGTTTCTTTTTCTTGTGTTTTCTTTGGATTAATAAATTACCTGAAGAGGGCTCAAAACCGGACTGAAACGTCATCAAACTGTTGTTTTTCTGTGGCTAGAAACTTGGTCAACATCATCCCCATTAAAATTATATAGAATTAGCCGACATTGCCAATACTTCAAAAAGTTCAGAAACTCGATTAGGTTTCAGGATTCAATTCATATAAGTCGGAAAATGTTAAATATCAATAAAATAGATTGACATAATTACAGTTCTAAGATGCAGAAATATCATTTCAGCTATTACACCTATTTTAAAATATAATTATTATCATTATTAGATTACGTTTTGTATTCTAAAAATAAAAATATATATACAGTAACCTCCAATTGAAGTGCAACACTTGAATTTTGGTACATATCTGTGAAAGTATACGTATTCAATTCTTGATACTTTAGAATACTGTCATGCGAATTCCATGATTAATAGTTGAATATCTACGATGTTCAATATACAATAACATTCCGTCCAACCACAGCAATGAATATACAGTAACGTCCAATTGAAGTGCAACACTTGAATTTTTTTATATATCTGTGAAAGTATAACAGATTTCGAAAAACCAAAGATACAATTTTTTAGGAAATTTCCTTCCCGTTCGAATGGTAAAGGTTTTATCCCGATCGGATACAAAATAGCCAAATGGCAGGGGTTGCTTCCGAACGCGCCAGCCAATCTGGTCCAGTTTCTGCATGATATCATCTTTAATGATACTGCAGATTCTCACAAAATTATTGTTCTCGGAGATGATCCTGTGATGGAGATCTCGAGATTTCGCAAGCGCACCCGAAGCTTCCCCGCCATTTTTCATTAGGAATGCGATGAAATAGAAGTTTCATATTTATCCACGTTGTAGCTGAGATTTCAACGATTAAAACGCGCTTTTAAACATCTAAAAATAAGTTTGCTAAGGGATTAAATTATCCGTTTGAAAAAACGCCTAAATTTTGCTAGTTCCGCTCGAGGCGCTCGGGGGACTACTACCCTACCACGTGCGCCAAGCAATTGTCCCCCGAGCTCCTCGAGCGAAAGTCACAAAATTCCGTCACGGGATCATCTCCGAGAACAATAATTTTGTGAGAATCTGCAGTATCATTAAAGATGATATCATGCGGAAACTGGACCAGATTGGCTGGCGCGTTCGCAAGTTATGGCCATTTAAGTGTTTTCACTTCAAGGGGGTGTAACTCCCCCTAGAGTGATCCTACAGGGGTTCAATGGGGGGTTTTTTTTAATGCCGAAGGATGCTCTCTCTCGTGTCCTAATTAGAAATAAAAATTTCCTTCCGGAACTACTAGATCTCGAATTTTTCAAAAAGTTCCAAAATGCACTTTTTCACTCCAACCCCTGCCATTCGGCCATTTTGTATCTGATCGGGATAAAACCTTTACCATTCGAACGGGAAGGAAATTTCCTAAAAAATTGTATCTTTGGTTTTTCGAAATCTGTTATACTTTCACAGATATATAAAAAAATTCAAGTGTTGCACTTCAATTGGACGTTACTGTATATTCATTGCTGTGGTTGGACGGAATGTTATTGTATATTGAACATCGTAGATATTCAACTATTAATCATGGAATTCGCATGACAGTATTCTAAAGTATCAAGAATTGAATACGATACATAAATTACATGGTCGTGTTATATCAAATATTTAAGAAAATTGTAAATGCCCATTGGCATAATGTATGCTTGCAAGAAGATAACTTATATGTATCCACTACGTTGAGAACCATGATGACTTTGAGGATTAGACTGCATTTGCATGACCAAATTACGAGACTCTTTACGTAACTGATAGCCCATACGAGCATCCAAATACATAAAAAATGCTCCCACACAATGGAGCATAAAAGAGATCACTGCAAGACCATATGACCATGATAAGTGATTAAAATTTGGGTACATTAACCAATCCCGACGCCAACACTGTCCACCAAAAATAGCTACTGCCAGAAACAACAGAGCCCCTGCAATTATAACAAAAATTAGGATTGCAAATTATTAAGGGCAGTTATAGTTATACTGAATCAATAATGTTATGCTTTTGAAGTATGCCACATTGAAATAAAGATATACTCACCAGATGCAGCATCACAAACAAACGCAATACAGGATAGAAGCCACTCATAATGTAACACAAAATGAAGAGGCCATCTAATCAGAATCATAGCAATGACAACTTGCCCAAAAAATGACAACATTACAGCAAGTGTAGCAAATGCCTGCACCGACATGAGCCAACCCGGTAAAAGCCATTTTCTAATCACATAAACCTCGTCTGAGTAGATTTGATGACATCCATCAAACAATTTATCAAACTGAAAGTATGGAAATCGGAACTCGTGGAAACAATATTCCCATAGACCCATATGCTTAAAGCTGCTGAATGTTTCTTGGTATGATTGTATCCAGTAGGGACTAAAAAAAATAACTTGTATAGTTAATCTACTGATTGTAATGAATAATCATGATTATCTTACTTTTGTACTTATTTCAGTATAATAGAAAATGTAAAAATAATCCACACAATCTTGGGTTTAGTAAAAAATAACCATTTTAGAACTTTCCTTGCTAATATATAAAAATATATAGATGTCATAAAGAACTACTGATATTTGAACTGTTCAAAATTCTATTAAAAATTTAAAACTACAGGAAAGTTTTATAAAACCAATCATATGAAAAAGTAACTGTTATACTACGTTAATGGTTAAATTTGATTCTATTTCAGTTGTTTTAATTTTTGTTACTCGTTAACCATATAAAACCAATGTTTACCTGATGTATGCCATAATCAGTAATAATCCAGCTGCGTATGTAATGATACCTCCAAAAACCACAGCGTCTGTTGATTAAAATGTATAAAATTGTTAAGGTTATATTCCCAAAAAATTGAATGTTTTTAGAATAATTGTTAACTTACTCGAAGCTCGATGATATTCTTGTTTTTCTGCTGACATTTTTATTAATTTTGTAATACGACTGAAGTTAATGGTTTCTTTGGACGGTCGAAAAAGAATTGTTTACACGTTATGATGACACAACAATCAAAATTATAATCCGCCACGCCTTCATCACCATTACTGTTAGCACTTCTAGAGTACACTACCTATACACTGAACTCTACCATTTGGAATCCGTACGGCAGTGGTGGGGGCGAGTAGAGAGAGATAGCAAGGACACAGCCGAGGGTAGTAGCCACTGATCACTGATATATGTATATATCAGTGGTAGTAGCCCGTCTGTATCACACACTGTACAATCTCTGAAAAAGTTTAAGGTGGATGACTTCAGTAATAAAGCCATGTTTTTCCTCTGCAATTTTCAGAAATATTTACTTACAAAAAAATAAACCTGCGGTAGGACTCCACATCAATGTACACGAATTTACACAGGAGTACCTGGACATTCTTAACAAATTTGTAGTTTAGACTGGCGTGGCTGGCACTAAATGCGGCATTGCAACATTTCCACAGGGCTTGTACACCACATGCGCAGTCCAATTCGAAAAGGACAACCTTATAACCACGTGGAGTGAGACAGCTCCGCGCTGGCCGGATTACCTCCGAATACAGGCGTACAGATTTCAGTATGGTTAGAGTTCAGTGTACCTATAGCATTTTCAATGGGCATTTTTCTCTTACGGTACTAATCGACACAGATCAACACATGTCGCTTAGAGCCGAAAGCTTATTTGTTGGATCTAAAAGAATTCTCTAATGGCATAGTGTATCTAAGAGAAGCGTGTCTATCGGCGTCGATTGTGGGTGCGTTCCGAAATGTACTGACAGTAATGTAAAAGTAATTACATCTGTCTTAGATGCGTATGGATTAATAAGGACACAGCGTTGGTTACAGTACTGGCCACTGAACTATAACCATACTGGAATCCGTACGCCTGTATTCGGACGTAGCTCGGCCAGTGCGGAGCTGTCTCACATCCCCTTGTTATAAGGTTGTCCTTTCCGAATTGGACTGCGCATATGGTGTATAAGCCCTGCGAAAATGTAACGCCGCATATTAGTGCCAGCCACACCACCACAAAGCTAGCACTAATGTACAAATTTATGATAAATGCCCTGTGGAGTTCTACCGCAGGTTTATCTTTTTCTAAGTAAATATTTCCAAAAATTGCAAATAGTTTCGAATATTGTTTGCTAAAAACATGGCTTTATTACTAAAACCATCCCATCGACATATAGTACTGAACTGCTCACTGTAGCTGCAGAAAGTGTAATCGGGAATAGAAAGAGATAGCAAATCGTAAGGACCGTGCTGTCCTTCTCTTGGGCAGGAGCGGAACCAGGAATAAGGGAACCCCGTGCAGTAAAATGTATGTTTCATGATGAACTCTATTTATACATTTTATAAGTTTAAGAATTGATTTAATCTTATGTTAATCATAAAATTTAAGGTTATTTTTCCATTTTACTTAGTTGTGAAAGATTATCGTATTGGGCTCAAAATACAGGTCTCGCGGTAGTCCACACTTAACACAGCGAGTCACTATTTTTTGTAGTAATATTGAATTTTGATAAACTCAACTACAATAAAGTAATCACGACAATTGAGATTTGACTCACGGAGGCTTTTGTCTCCATGATTCGACTGTAACAACGTACATACATTCTAGATGTGCGGAGTAATCTTTCATATGGTTCTTATTTTGCATATTACAGTCCTGAACCCCTTCCACCCAGAAACCTTTCGACTAATAGAAAAATTATACGAAAGGACAGAACGGTTCTTACGATTTGCTCTCTCTTTCTATTCCCGATTACACTTTCTACAGCTACAGTGAGCAGTCCAGTACTATATGTCGATGAGTCATCCAGCTTAAACTTTTTCAGAGACTGTACAGAGTGAGATATAGACAGATTTCTAACATCGTCTGTGTCGATGGTCTGTGTCCTTGCTATCTCTCTCTACTCGCCCGCACCACTGCCGTACGCATTCCAGTATGGTTATAGTTCAGTGGTACTGGCAATACTGCACAGTACTGTCACCGGAATGCACCCTGTATTGTAAGGGGCTATCTACAATGAGACGTAAGCGTAAGACGGATGACGGAAGTCGTTGTCGGAAGACGGAACGTGCGTTCCACAATGAAGCCGTTTGACGGAAGCGTTTGACGGATGTCGTAGTCGGCTGTCGTAAGAGAGTTGGTCATCTCCCATCTCTTCCGTCTTCCGAAAACGTTAACGTGCACGCCGGTGGCAACACCGCCCTTTGCCACAAAACATTCTGTACTCTGATTGGCTGCGGAACCGAAGTGTCATGCGTTACGGTAACGACATTGTGGATTCATGTCGGAACGAAGTTGTTTATTCACGGCAATCCAGGGTGCAGATAGGTGACATAATCGGTTTATTGGAACACCAAGTCTTCAAGATCAAAGTTTCTTTATTATTAATAATTGCGTATCACGGACAAAGAAGAATTAACTGCCTCGTGTTTAAACTCACTCATTCCTTCAAACAATATAAAACTACGTTCCCTAGATGCTTCTCGTTTGGGGAAAAACAAGCCGCCTGGTTTGTCCACCAGAGGTGCTGTGGACCTCAAGCATGGTTCTAAACAGAAGTCGGAACGCTGCCCCGTCTCCGACAGCACGACACGACAACGACTAACGCTTCCGCCTAGTGCTTACGACAACGTCTTATTGTAGATAGACCTTAAAAGAACTGCCAATATCACCAACCTAATTTTCTTTTAAATGCACTTGTCAGTGAAGATGAACTGAATATTCGAAAGACAGCTAGCTATTTTATTTGACAAAAATATTCGAAATTAGTTTGAACATGCTGCAAATTCTAAATATTCAAATATTGTCTTATCTGTAGTAGAATATCTTAATATCTATATTACTATTTATGGAATATTTCACCAACTGAATACTAAAAATAATTCAAACACATACCATGCTTTTCTTTTTACATCAAATATTCTTTAAGGGGGTGTACCTAGTGATGCAAAAAATAAGTAACTTTCAAGAACTGTTTTGTATGACACTATAAGGTTTATTTGTTACATTTTTTATAGTGAAAAGTACATATTTTTCCGTTATATAAAAAATGTTGAGATATGGCGGAAATACAGCTATCGGCTCTAGGCAGGTTACAAATCGTGGCTCTGTGATACCAGATGTATCTTCCACAGGAGTTAATAAAAAAAAAAAAACCAAAGATGATCTTAAAATATATTAGTAAAACTTGTCTTTATTATATCCGTTTTCTAAATTTTGTTAAAAAAAATGGTCGTACAAATTTTAAGTAGTGATTTTTTATTTAAAAAATCATGTTTTTTTGATAATGGGGAAACTAAGCATTCAAAACAACCTATGATAGAGATTAAATAACTATTTGTAGAATAACCATGTAAATTTCAAGTAAATCGAATCAACCTTTTCTGAGATATGTCTGAAACTGATTTTATAAAATACGATTTCGAAAAAAACGCGTTTGAAGTTTTGTATAAGAAATACACATTTTCTTCAACCGTGATTTCTTCCTTATTATTACAAATTTAAATTCGATACTTCGTTTAATCTTGAAACATCAAACCATTTTTTTTATCAATCTAAATAGGTAAACCTTAATGACAATTCCAAATTCTGAAAAAAAATTTGTAGCTCGTGTGACTACGAATGTGACTAATTTGTGAATGCTTTATTTGTTAATTAGTAAATATGTATTTTATTATAAAATAGTTCATTATAAAAGAAATACAAAGCCAACCGTAAGTGTATTACATACATCATTCTTTGATTTTGTTTGTACTTATGGACGGATAATACATTGCAGTTTCGTATATTTCAATTACGAACGGACAGTGAAAGTTAAATTTTTTTTTTAAATTCATATTCCACGTGCATATTGTTGACACACGCGTGGCCACATGTGAGTAAAAACTATTGCCATGATAAACATTATTGTGTTCTCCATAAAAACTATAGACCTAAAAAGTCGGGTATATAATTAATTAGTATCTAGATTTCTTACACAACGCATACTTAATATAAACGTATCTTAAATAATAAAAGTATCAACAAATTAGTAGCCTATGGACGGATAATTTTGCAATATTTATTAGAAATAATACGGATATCAAGAAAATGAACGTTTTGATATTTCTATCAATAAGACAGATAATATCACTTTTGACAAAGTTGATTTTTTTTTTCTGTACAAACTCCTGTTTGCAGAAAGTCTTATGCCTGAGATTCGAGTTGAAAGCGCGTTTGAGACTCTTTCAGATATTTACGTTTCTTGCGTTGAACATAAGCCTCGATAAGAAAAAGTGTACTAGCTATTAGGGATAGCACACTGCCAATTACACCCAATGCAAAAGAATAACCAAAGTAATTATTTTCATGCCCTAACATCCAGCCGTCGGCATTTCCAAAACACGCAAAGATGATTACTGCCAAGCTGCCACTGATACCTCCAGCCAACAAAATATAACCTATGATTGTTATTAGCTGCACATAACGTTTTTGCTCAGGATCACAGCACAAAACAAATAGCAGTATCAGGCCACAAGACACCAAACAGGACATCAGACAGAATGTAAAGAACAGCTGCGTGGCCACCATAAATGCTGTAAACAAATGATTTCTAATTAAACTCAAGCATCAAAATAGTTTTATATCTATAATAGATAAAAATTTATTGAAATAACAATGATATTAATTGTGCAAAATAGAACTCTACAAATAATTGTAATATATAATGGTATTCAATCAGTTTGTAAAACTTACGTGGTACAAGGAAGCTGCGGATATCAGCATAACCAGCTGTAAATGGATCAAAGATCCATCGACACCCTACAAAGAAACGTCTAGGTGCATCAGCTTCTTGTGGATTCGGAAGAGAGCGAAAACAATGTCTCCAAAGTCCAAGTTTATCTACTTTTGCTCCAGTGAGTCGATAATCACTAACCAACCAAGCTGGGGTACCAAAAGCTACACAAACGCACACCAAAGTAACGACGAATATCCCCACGCCAACGTTCCCAGACAAGCTTCGTTTTTTCATTTTTATGAAAATACAATGCGGATATCCTGCTAAAGTAAAATGGATAACATGTAACGCTCACTTAAAAGAATGATTTCACTTAAACCACACCCAAAACACTGATGTCAGCAGCCATATTGAAGCTACCAGGCTTATGTACTAACCTAATCCTAATCTGTGACAGATTTTAAATGGACAATATATTTTCTATTTCCACAGTACACAAAGTCATTCAGAGTCTTTCTCATTTGCACTTCATCAGTAGTAATCAATGAAATTATTTTTAGACTTACAGTGTTATACAAAATTAATTAGTACTGATTAGACCGAAATAATGTTTACATTCCCCACTAAACAGTTATGATTTGACGATACTGAAACGACGAATTAAGCATGTCTGGCCTGGCGGAAGAAGATGTATTTAAGTATTAAAATGTCTCGTAAAAATAAATAATTGCTATGAAATAAAATGACAAAGCTGTACATAAGACTATGCATGATTATGTTTGGTGAGAAATGATAACACTTTCTTACAACTTTACTGTGACTACATACTGCTCCACTCCTGTCATAGAATTTCGAATTTCTAATAAAATGTACTGTGTACTTGTAATGACCATTCACTAATCTGATCATGAAACGCACTATTCCATTTGTATTGTACTATACAATTATTTAAACCGTTGAATGAATTGAAAATCTATGGATTGTCTTTGGTATATCAAGTATAATAATAATTGCTTACTTCGTTAATGGTCAATCGTAAGTCTAAATTTTTAAAGACAAAACTATATTTCACTTCTGGTCGGAGAGTAAACTACGCGGCTACTACAATGCATGAAAGGGAAATAGTCCTTCGATGAATCTAGAGACAATGATAATCATGGGAGAAGCATGGGAAAATGCAGTTGTGGTTATTTATCGAATCCTTACTAGCATAATAAAAAGTGATACAGCGTTTCATTGAACATTTTATGCAAATACCCCTCTCTTGCATAATTTCAAGGTCACAAACCTTCTTATATCAATCTTTGATTTTCACAATATCTTCTTGCGCGAGTATGAAGCTTGAGTCATGTATGCAGTTTAATTTCTAGTAAATCTATTTCCCACGGTAGCCAAGTATGTCAGTACATGGGCGTGTTTAACAATTATCACCCATTACTGAAGTTGCTGGAATGACAAATAACAGCGCACTGTTTCCGTAATATTATTTTCCCATCTGTACGTGGTAATATAAAATATTTCTAATATTGTATATTAATATTACTTAAGTGGTATTCTATTTTTATTCGGTTTGCGATAGAGTAATTGGAAACCACAAGAGTTCTATGACAATATATTTTTATTAAAAATACCATTAGACATTTGAGATTTATTACAAATTGCGCCAACAGAATACATTCTGCAAAGAATGTAAAATCTAACAAGGCACAACATGCATTTGATAATAATGTTATATAATGTAAATGTATTTGTACAAATTATTCTTATGGTTAAAGGACGGATTATGGACGAGATAGACATTCCAGTAATGCATGTTTAATTAGTTTGCATGCATATAAGCATACAATATTAATAAAAAAGGAAATTAAGTTTTAAATACTTAGTGGTAAAAAAATGGTTTTCCTTTAGTATATTTTATAAAAGGATGGAAAACAAAGAATCTGCATTGAAACGTAAAATATGATTAAAAATATCGAAATTTTCATTGATGCAGTTTGCAAAGTATTATGATTTTGGAAAAATGCTAGAAGCACAGTTTCGTGTCGGTAAACTTCACATAGTCTAAAAATTATATATAAGATATAGACGGAGGCGTGCAAATTCAACATTACAATAATATAGCTGCTTAGTTTATTCATATAACATATTGACAAAAATGAAAAAAATATATATAGAATACTACGCGATCAAATACACTACGTATGTCATACGTAAATCTATTATTTGATATCTAACATATTAAAACGTTAGATCAGTAATCTGTCTAAAATGGATTAAGTGTAGTACAATTTCAATTTAAGTTCTAGATGGTGGTATGCGTTTTGCCCTCTTCACCAAGTATTCTTTCCTGTTTTTTCTTATGTCTTCGGGCCTCGACTAAAAAGAGTATGCCTGCCTCAACTAAAATAAAACTACCAACAACAGCTAAAGCATATGACCATCCAATATCATTATGCTCCCAATTAGGCATCCATACACGACTGTCACCATGCACTCCAAATATAATAACTGAGATTATACCACAAATACCAGCTAATGTGAGATTCGCTCCAATAACCCAAAGAAGTAACTGGTATTTGTCATGCTGACGAGAACAGCATGTGTACAGTGCAGTGAGGAAACCTCCAATCAAAAGTAGAGTCATACAGAGAGTAAAGAAGAATTGTGTAGCTACGAAGAAATCAGGTAGCAACAAATCATGGATAATGTAATATTCTTCTTCAAAGACCCACCAACATCCAACAAATTTAGTGTCATAAAAGTGATGTGTGTCTTCAATTCCTTGAAAGCATACTTGCCATAAACCTAGAAAAACAACAGTAATATATGACGTACAAACATTAAAGATAAATTGAATTATATATTGACAATTTCTATATTGTTGACACATATAATAACAATATCTGGTAAAAATACCTTTTCAAATACGTATAGATTTATAAATAATTGGAAAAGTAACAATATCATTTTTGGTATGCATGTCCAACAAATTATCTCAAATTATAACATGAATGTAAACAATCATCAAGAACTCATTTAGCCCAACCCTTTTTGTATATAAAAAAATCTAATGTTTTTGGAACTTATTTATTCATAATATTAAATATATATATATGTAATATTACTCACCAATTTTATTAAATTGTGGGTTTTCCAATTTACCATCAGTTTGAAGCCAGTTGGGCGTGGTAAAAGCGATGACAATCAAAAGGAACGCAACTGCCGTACTGGCAGCTGCGATTTTTCCGTTCCGCGATTTTCCCATTCTTTTCTCTCAATATTTGGCTTCCCAAAGTATTTGTTCTATCAAATCAGCAAATATTTTCACAATAACCTGATACTTTAACGATAATATTCGATGATCACGTTGGCACCGTTTTGACACTGCCTTCGTGGAACGTAATATTCCGTTTCTGATATGTATTAATACTTTTTAGTTTTTCAGACTCATTTATTTTAGAAAACCTTTGACATTATTTCTCATATATAAATAATTCATTTCTATAGTAAACAAGTGTATTCTAAACGAATGACATATTCTGAGTATCTTTTAAACAAACAGCTCTACGACCATTCCATTTTACGACCAAATTAAAATCAATTAGAATGACACTAGATGGCGATACTGACGGCTCCGTACACTCGAGCGCGAAATATAAACTGGAGGAAATATAATAATTAACTGTAAATCTGCTTTGATGTACGCCTTTTCAAATTCTTGTGGTTAAATTTTATTATATGCATTGTTATGCCGTGAGGATGTTATAAAATAATCTTTAACACTTTTGATAATACCAAAATAGCAGAAGCAAACTATTCTTTATTCTATCAAGTTTTGTTAGCAAAGGCACAATTCTATGCTAATTTCCTTTCTATGAGTGGACGATGCTCACTCGGAGCCTACAGTTCGACGACTGCCCTTTGTTGCGTCTGAATAACGAAAGTTTCTACGCCTTAGTACAATCTTTGCTGACAAAGGGTTACTTATCGTGTGGTACTAAGAATGCTAACCTAGTAAATAATAAAGTAATGCTTAGGTGCATAACACCCCCGCTGTTAGATGAAAATTCCCTTTTTACAAAATTTACAATAGGGATTTTCATAGATTCAAAAGTATATTACATTGTTACATATATCATTGTCGAATTCTGATATGCGAAGTCTAGACCTAGATCGAGGAACCTTTCTTTTTGGCTCTGGTTGTCTGAGGCTTATAGTTTTTCTTTGAAAGATTGGGGACACATCTAAATTTAATGAAATGGAACTGGAATTAACATGGACCAATGTTCCCATGGGCATTTCTGTCGCACAGGAGTTTTGATTTCGAGCATTGTTGCCATAATTAAAGAGACAATGATTATAAACAGAGGTGCAAGGCTTGAATGCCCCTAATGTCAAGCATTTAAGAAGATAAAATATTTTAAACTTATTCATTAAGTACAGTATTACTAATCCGTCTAAGATATAAATGGCATACGTGATCCAACTTATTGCTTCCTCATAAAATGTTTTTGTTCTCTGATGATTTCCTATTTCCATTGCTTCTCTTGTTATTTCGTTTAATTGGGTGCCATATTTAGTTAGATGGCCTATTTTAACATCAGGCGTTTCTATCGCGTGAAATTTTATCAAACTGAGGTTGAACTGTGGATCCTTAAAAA